CCCCCCCCACACTTCTGTTGCCCCTCAATCCATTCCTTCCCTGGCAGCCAGAAAGAGCTTGTAAAACTACAAGTCAGAGCTTGTCGGTCCTGGGCTAAACCCTTCTTGTGGCTCTCCGGTGCCTTTAGATGGAACCGAGCCCTCGAGCCCTGACAGCTTTGGAGGTCCTGCCCACCTTTCCAACCAGGTGCACGGCGTCTCCCTCCTCCCAAAGCAGTTCACTGTGCTCTAGCCACGCTGCCTGCCTCTCAGACACTCCAGGCTCCTCCCCTCTCTCTCTGAATCTTTGGCACCTGCTGTTCTGGCAGCTTCCGACGATGTCTCTCCCCTCCTGACTTTGCATGACTGGTGGACCCTTATTTGTTCATTCAGTCTGGCCTCAAATATCCTCTCCAGAGCGGCCTCCCTGAACATCTTACCTAAGGCACGGTCCCTTAGAGTTCCATGCCCATCTCCATCCCTGACATCATCCCTTTAAATTTCCCTCATGACGCTTGTCGTGGTCTGAATTTATCTTGTTCCTTCGTGTATTTCCTCATTTTCTGTCTGTCTTCCCCAACTAAAAATGGAATCTCCCAGAGTGCCAGGAAGACTTGTGTTTTGTTTGCTGCCTTATCTCCAGTGCCTTCCTTGCCTGTGGATTTTAATTTTTGAATGACTGTATGAGTTCACGAACACAAAGATGGATGAATGGATGGGTGAATAACTGGGTGAAAGGATGTGTTCATGGACGAACAAATGGGTGGACGGATGGCTGCCCAAAGTTGCCCATAACTTCCCTGAGATTAGGGTGTGCTGCCACCTGGTGGTGGAAATAGCAATAGCCGCATTTGCTGCCGGGATGCTCTCCTTTTTTTCAGAAGTTAACAATGGACATCTCCCATCTACCGGCCCCCGAGGTCATGCTTCCCTTTCAGAGATCCCCCGGGAGCACCCCATTAGTTGGCTAGGACTGTTAGCCCTCCTCTGTGGGGCATGATGTTATTTTAAAAGTGAAGCGAGGCTTCATTTGGGAAATATTCACCCGGTATTTACCTTGTGTCATATCCTGTTCCAGGTACAGGGGACCGAGTGGAGAACACGAAAAACTCTCATGGAGCCTACTCAAACGAAGAGGCTGGGCAATGAAAGAGAAAGCAAATAAATAGGGTAATTCCACAGAGTTATGGCACAAGATGATGGGATAGAAAATGATTCATGTGCATCTTTAGTTTTTCCAGAGGAAGCTTCTCCAAAAAGGTAGAATTTGAACTCAGGTCCAAGCAACTGATGAGGAGGAATAAGCCCCATAGAGGCTGGGGAACAGCATTCTAAGCCTGTAGGGATAGGGGCAGGCAAATGGGGCCCTTGCCTGGGGCTCGATATTTAAAGGGGCACCAAGAAACTCAGTCTTCAAGATAATTTTATGCACTATTTTCACCTTTTTAATGTTAATTTATTTTTTTTGAGAGAGAGAGCGAGAGTGAGTGGGGGAAGGACAGAGAGAGAGGGGGACACAGAATCCGAAGCAGGCTCCAGGCTCCAAGTTGGGAGATCATGACCTGAGCCAAAGTCAGATGCCCAACTGACTGAGACACCCAGGTGCCCCTTTTTTATGCACTATTTTCAAAAATTCAATATTAATGCAAAAAATATATGGTGAACAAAATAACAACGTTTATCTAAAGGCGGGATCCAACAGGGCCAGGCGAATTGTACAAATGCAAAGTAGGCTCTTGTCTATGTAAGATCTTCATACGTCCTTCATCACAGATACTCGTGGCATTTGCTTTGATTCCTTAAAAGATTGCACCAAAGTATTATTTATCTCAGCTGCAGAGTGTCTTGGTGGCCCCTTAGTTTTGTGCCCAAGGCAAGTGCCTGCCTCACTCTGTCCCAGCCCAGTTAAGTCTAAGCAGAAGAAACAGCAAGTGCAGAGCTCCAAAACGGGCTCGAGGGAGAGAAAGAATGTCAGGGCAGCAGAGCAAGGAGGCAGGGGAATGATGTGGGAAAGGCCAGCAGCGGTCTCCACCCTGGCTGTGCTTTGAACCCCCTGGGGGGGGGCTTTGAGTCATACCCACACCAAGGTCCTGCCCACGCCACTGTCCGTCTCAGGGGTGGGGCCCAGGCATCAGCATTTTAAAAAAGCTCCCAGATGGCGCTAATCTGCCAGCAGGGCTAAGGCCTCTTTGGGAGCTGCCTGTTCCACTCAGTTTTGTCCCCTCCTCCGTCACGTCCCTCAAAGGGTGATGATGAAGCTGGGGCACTTCTCCCGGTCTGCTCAGTCATTCACCACCGCCCCCGAGGCTGGAATTTGGGAACTCCTGCTGCCCGTGCTACCCACCCCAGAGACACTGGTTCAATTATTTGGGGCTCAGTCTGGGCACCAGGACTTGGAAAACCTCCCTGGTACTTCTATCTACAGCACAGCCAAGGTTAGAAACCACGGAATTAGAGGCTTATTTGGCACAGATACTTGTCTGGTGCTGTACCAGGATGGCCAATGGACTGTTGATAACGGACTTGTCTGAGAACCTCAGAGGTACCCCTTGACTAATAGAAATGGCCCATGGGGTGCCTGGGTGGCTCAGTTGGTTAAACGTCCAACTTCAGCTTAGGTCGTGATCTCATAGTTCGTGGGTTTGAGCCCCACATCCGGCTCTGTGCTGTCAGCTCAGAGCCTGGAGCCTGGTTCGGATTCTGTGTGTGTGTGTCTCTCTCTGCCCCTCCCCTGCTCATGCTCTATCTCTCTCTGTCTCTCAAAAATGAATAAAATGTTAAAAAAAAATTAAAAATAATAAAAATGGTCCATCCAACCATCCCATATTTCTTAATAACATACATTTGTATGCATGCGTACGTAATTACCATTAATATTTTAGAGCAGGCATGCCTACCCTCCCTGGCCTTGGTTTTGTCTGTTTCAAATCGCCAAGCCTTCCTGGTCCTCAGTTTCCCCCCCCCCCCCCACTGTGGAAGAAAATGTTGCAGCTGGTGAGCCCTGAGGTGCATTGGAGTCCCGACATTCAGGAGACCATGGCAGGTGTCAGGTGTCTTACGTGGCCTGGCTTTTTGGTTTTGCCCAGGCAGAGCCAGCTGGAGTCACTGCAGAGGAAGTAGGGAAAGGAACGGAAAAAAAATGTCACACCCAAAGCGGACACTGCTGGCAGGTTCTCCTCGGGGACTAGGGTGAACAGTGCTGGGCCCTGCATGGGGGTGTTGACATCCCTACAGGCCACTCAGGGCGGCTGCTGTGACCGATTCTGTCTTGCAGACTTGTACCACAACCTGTGCAATTTTCTGGCCCTGGAGACTGATTCTGTGCTGCTGTCGATTGGGTGAGCTGCTGGAGAAAGTCAGTGGGTGTCACTTGGGTGGAAGAAGGTAGGGAGGAGCACGTGGATGATTTGTAGAAGAGAGAGAGGGGCCCTAGCCCCCAAGAGGCACTCTCGCACGTACATGCACGGACACAGGCACAGCGCCGTTCACGAGAGCAAAAACCCAGAAAGAAGTCACATGCCCACAGCAGGGGTGTGCACGAACAAACTGGGGCATGAGACAGCAAGTGCTGGTGAGGAGGTGGAGAAAGGGGAACCCTCACGCACTGTTGGTGGGAATGCAAAGTGGTGCAGCCACTGTAGAAAACAGTATGGAGGTTCCTCAAAAAGTTAAAAATAGAACTGCCCTATGATCTAGTAACTGTACCACTGGATACTTACAATTAAAAAGGATAGATGCACCCCTGTGATTACTGCAACATCATTCCCAATGGTCAAATTATGGAAGTAGCCCAAGTGTCCATCGGCAGATGAATGGATAAAGATGTGGTGTATATGCAACGGAATGTTTTCCAGCCACAAAAAAGAATGAAATCTTGCCATTTGCAATGATGTGGTTGGAGCTAGAGGGTATTATGTTAAGCAAGACAAAGTGACACTATATTAAATGTACATACAAGTGATTCAGCACTTACATGTAACACCTAATGCTCATCAGAACAAGTGCCCTCCTTAGTACCCATAACCCATTTAGCCCATCCCCCACCCACCTCCCTCCATCAACCCTCAGTTTGTTCTCTGAGCCTCTTACGGTTTGCTTCTCTGTCTCTCTCTTTTTTATTTTGCCCTCCCTTGTGATCATCTAGTTTGTTTCTTAAATTCCACGTATGAGTGAAATCATATGATATTTGTCTTTCTCTGACTGACTTATTTCGTTTAGCATAATACATTCCAGCTCCATCTACGTCGTTGCAAATGGCAAGTTTTTGTTCTTTTTGATCACTGGGTAATACTCCATTGTACGTCCACATCACATCTTTATCCATTCATCAGTTGATGGACATTTGGACTCTCCCCATAGTTTAGCTACTGTTGCTAAGCAACAAATGCTTTTTAGTATAAGCATCTGCCATGTTTTTTTCTACTTTTTAAAAAATTTACATCCAAGTTAGTTAGCACGTAGTGCAATATGATTTCAGGAGTAGAATCCAGTGATTCATCCCCCACGTATAACACCCAGTACTTAGTGTCTTCCTTAATTCCCCTTGCCCCTTTAGCCACCCCACTCCCCAAACCCCTTCAGCAACCCTCAGTTTGTTCTCTATATGTAAGAGTCTCTTATGTTTTGTCCCCCTCCCTGTTTTATAT